GTATTTTTTTTTCTAGTTTCTGATCTGTTGTTAGATATATTCGTATTGGTATCTCGACTAATTCAGATTTATACCGCTTAAGATCCATTAACGGGGGAGCACTCTATTTCAGGATTTTTCTTAGAAGAATTAACCTAAATAGTCGTTCACCCAACCGCTTAAACTTAAAATAGCCGATGCATATATAATATATAAATAATTCATGTACAAGTATAATTTATGTATATCAGCTTGGAAAAGTAAATAACGAATATGGCTGGCTATTTTTGTAAAGAACTTTTTTCTTATTCCCTAGGTTGAATCCGAGATCTTTATCGCTTTATTTTAGCTTTGACCCTAGTAAAGATATACGTGCAATCTCGAGGTTGATGGCCAACAATTAGTCATTTGCCAAAAGATTCACTACGTAATTAATATTTTTGACATGTATGTGACGATCAATTATTTATGAACTAATTTATTTCTTTGGCTGTCTCCATTAGGTTTTGGACGATGAGACGTTTGCAATACTGGTGGTTATGGCACTCTTTACAACCTTCATTACAACTCCAGCAGTAATGGCTATTCACAAACCATCAATACGCCAAATTCAACTACAAAAAACACCAAAACCCAAAGAAAATAATCTCAGAATTCTAGCATGTATTCGTGGCCCTAGAGATGCACGTTCACTTATAACCCTCATTGAATCACTAAGATCTAACAAAAATAATAATTCTTCAATTACCAAACTTTACGTAATGCAGCTCGTCGAATTCAGCGATCGACTCTCCTCTATCCTGATGGTTCAACGTGCCCGAAAGAATGGTTTTCCGTTCATCAGTCGGGTACTCCGGCGAGACGACGACACGACCGATCAAGTGACCACGGCGTTCGAGGCGTATAGTCAATTAGGTCGGGTCAAGGTCCGACCTACAATGGCTATCTCAGCTTTGCCAAATTTGCACGAGGATATTATTCATGTTGCGAAGAAGAAACAAGCTGAAATTATTATTTTGCCATTTCATAAATATTGGCAAATGGAGGGGGGAGAAGAAATGGAGATTCATGCAGGTATGCATGTCAAAAATTGGTCTACATATGTTCTTTTGAATTACCAAATCAGTTAGTAATAAATTTTAACATGATTTTATCAAACAAATCAAACCTAAAAGTATAAATTATTTTAATGTTTTGATAAGTTTTTACTAGATCAATTTGGCTACATATGCCGTCCAAATAGGCCCAACTTTTAGATTGCTATGTCCAAAATGACTTTCTAATAAATATAGGGAAAATGACACTGTATAACTACTCTTAAAATAATAGCCGAAAAGTATATATTATTTTTGTATATATATACATTATGTATGTTATATACAAAAATTATACAATTTGGGGCTACCGAATGTAAATAGTTTCTGGCGCGTGCTAAAAGTATAAAAAGCTCATAAATATATACCAAGCCAAATTGGTCCATTTCTTGGTGAATTAGGTGAAGTATTTTTTCAAGGGCTAAATTTGACGCCCCTACAACTATGGTGTTCGGGGAAAAAAATCTCAATATGGTAGAAGAAAAACAAAATTTATATTTTCATTATGATCTTACGTAACGACAATTACTTAAATACGTTCATATGCAGGGCATGGATGGAGAACGGTGAATGAGAGGGTGACGAGACAAGCGCCGTGCGCAGTGGCGGTGCTGGTTGATCGTGGACTAGAAGTGAATTCCATGAGAGTTTGCATTGTGTTTTTTGGTGGAGCTGATTGTCGAAAGGCTATGGAATTTGGTAGCAGAATGGTTGAACATCCAGCTGTTAGGGTTACATTAGTAAGATTCATCCAACATATTGGGAGTAATTTTGATGAAGCTGAAAGGTAAATCCTATTTATGCATTTCTAGTATAATCTAATGGTTTAATGCATGCGATATTAATGGCGTAAAAAATATTTATATAATTTCAAGTTATAAGATAACTGCAATCAAATTTCTATGATAACTGTATTTTATAATTAACCTGGTCAAAATCGCAAAGAACCAATTATCACAAGTTAAATTAAACTTTAATGTAAAAAAAACTGTCCAATGTCATGGTAGAACTTAAATCCTTGCCTATTAAGTACTACAGTATGTATTATCATGAGTTAAATTGATATATATTAACAATTTATTCTTTACACTATTAGTAAACTTTAACATATTATGTTGTAGCAATAATATTATTTTTTAAGATACTAATCTCATACAATGCTCTTATCATAATAACTGAGTACTTAGAATTTAACTTGACACCAAGATCAAAATATGCAAAATCAAGCACAATAATGCATAAATGTAATACTATAAATTGTAGAGAAGTATATATTTTCTTATGTTGCTACATGTAAAATTTCGCAGTTAAACTTCAGAAATTAATCAAGATTTCAGTAGATCATTAGCACACCACCATCTTTGGTATCATAATAAATATGAGTTTTGACAAATCAAAATAACTAATTATAAACATCAAACTGGTTATGGATCTTTGGTTATCTTACTATTTCTGCTATCAATACTTTTCCTTATTTCATTATTTTTATCATAACTTCTTTGCTATTGTATTTTTTAAACCTGTCTTGAAAATGCTTTTCTTGAGCCGAGGATCTACCGAAAACAACATCTCTATCTCACATAGGGTAGATGTAAGATTAATTTGCATCCACTCAACCCTCCTCTGACCCCATTTATGGAATCACGTTGGGTATGTTGTTGTTGTACTAAATTCTATAATGTATTGGTGTCATTTTTCCAAACAGGACTTTGGACGATACTACTATTGCAGATTTCAAGATGAGGTGGGATAAACAAACTGTATATGCTGAAAAAGAAGCAAGTGATGAATTGGTGGAACAAGTATTGGCAATAGGGAAAAGTGGGGAATTTGAGCTGATAATAGTAGGAAAAGGCATGTTCCCACAATACATAATGGCAAAACTGTCTGAGAACCCATTAACTGATCAGCATTCAGAATTGGGGCCAATGGCTAATCTATTGGCTTCCTCTGGCAAAGAGATAAAAAGCTCTGTCCTAATGATTCAACAACAAGCTTTTGGCTGTGAAAATAGTAAGGATATGAACTCAAAAGTGGCTAGCCAATGTTAAAATGGTAAAAGTTTACTTGTACCAAGTGTTTACCTATTTATAAGATCGTGTGACTCATTTGGTAATTAGAAGGGATTATCAAATGTTAGTATTTAACTGTTGAATTGAAGAAAATCCTCTTCAAATAGTTGTTTTACATTTATGTATTGTTGTCTCCATGTGTAGAATGAATAAATGAATTATCTCAATCTTTGTTGAAATTCTTGATTTTTGACAAGGGAAAAGGGTTAAATTGTCCTTCTGTTGTGCTAAAAGTATTATCCTCTGTTATATTTTCTGCCTAAAAATACCTTTGCCGTTATGCAAGTGGCTCAAATATACCCCTCTTCCGTTAGAAATATCCTACGTGGACGTTCAATCTCATGTGACACTGATATTTTGTTGAGGTGGATACCACGTGACATGCCACCTTAGCCCCAACCCATTTTACCCCCTTCCCTCCACTTCTTCTACCACTGAGGAGATTAAAAAAAAACACGCAAAGAGGCCAACCAAAGAAAAAAAAAACACGCAAAGAGGCCAACCAAATACAATTTTACGATTTAAAATGCAAACAAATATATTATTACAACTGTACTCGGCAAGTTTTTAAATTTTGAAATATTTTTATAATGGTTCTTTGTCAAAACCAATCATTTTGAAAGATCATAAACCCTGTTTAGACCTGAGAACCTTTCATCTACATAGCGCATCAATAATGTAACTAGCTCGCAAGCTGATTCTTAGAAGCATCCATACTAAATTCATCATATTATTTTTTTTGATGTCAAAAACTTGGAAATGAGTCAATTGAATTCAAATAACATCACGATGATTTGGATGAAAGTCCAAAATTTCAAATCTTTAGGCTAAATCAGATTTTAAAGAATCTAAATTAATTAAATTCTTGAGAAGAATGCAATGGTAATTGTTGGCATTTCTTCGCAATTAGTTTGATTATGAGAAGTCATGAAACTTGAGTTTGGTACTTTGATAAGATACTTCCCAAATGACGACAGAAATTAAACATCCTCTAAATCTCTAAAGAATATTACACGAAATGAACTCAAGGCATTGACAAATACATGAAATATACCCATAAATACAAAAAGAAAACCACAAAAACTTCAAAATATAGAAATTAAACTGCTAAAACAAAGAAACCAAGGTTAATAGAATCTCAAAAACCAAACCAGTTCAAAAAAGAAAAATCTGAAAGAAGTAGAGAGAGAAGGGAAATGCATTGGCCCTTGCACGTTATGACTATGAAAATTAGGGCTTTAAGCCCGATTCGAGAGCCAACTGGCGACCTCCAAAGGTTTTGAACCCTCTTAGAAAGCGACATACGGTTTTGAGACATGGAGTAGAAAGTGTAATAGTGTAATTAAAACCTATTATATGTTGTATTTTTTATTTTTCATGTATCTAATTCCTCTTATTAATTATGGACACTTACCTATTTATAATATTTTTCACTTCGGATTTTCTACTAGAATCTCCAACAAAGACCAAAGAGAACCATTTCAGAATTCTAGTATGCCTTCGTAAACCCAGAAATTCACGTTCACTTATAATGGATATGAAGCCGAAAAGGTAAACCATCTCTGTGTAGAACTAAACCGCAACCCACCCCGCACCAATTTTTATGAAAAGGTATTTCAACCCGCCCCACCGCCCCATTTGACATCCCTAATTGACAGTATATAAAGAAGTTTATACTCTCAAATGTACTATAACATGTTGTGCGGGAATATATGTATTATTGAGTCAAGGCACTTTTAACTGAACTTCAGAGAATGGCATAGACGGCTAGGTGCATAAACTGAGATGCACAAAAGCCCAACTGCCTAAGCATATCAAAACCTGTAACATACAATTCACGAGCCAGACGACGATGTTAAGCTGCCAAAACCATTTATCCAAGATCTTGCATGTCCATATGCAATACAGAGAAATGAGACATAATTACGCAAAAATCTCCAATATATGGGACAGACGGGAATAAAGTAAAAACGCAAAAATGGTCTTTACAAATACAAATGCAACCTAAATGTTTTTAGCTCCGAATAATGGTTCTCAACAACAGTCTAATTCTGTTTGCTTTTGCTCTTTCTTCTTCTACAGGGGAGCAATTAACTCAACCTGCAGGCAATGGTACAAATATCAACTATATTCAGACACAAATCCTTTCCAACACGACACATGGAGACAACCGAATCTGGAAGGGTAAAAAATTACTAAGTTATAACATGCACCGCCGTCAGAGGAAACCTCCATCAGTCCATTTGGAATCTGATTTTCCACCATGAATGGCATGTTTGGTACCGGATGCACTCTGGTAGTGATTATCAAATCCATCATCCTGACCATCATCCCATCCAGCCCAGTCATCATTCTTGCTGGATGCTGCCCCCTTTGTAGAACTTACTTTGCTTTTGTCCTCATTGTCCCAATCATCCCACGACCCAGAGCTGACAGAATTAACATTCCTCCCAGAGGATTGGGCTCCTCCAGAAGTATTCCATCCTTTAGAATCCTGATTAAAATCCTGATAATAGCCGTTCTTTTCATTTTCACTTCGTTGCCAGCTATCATTCTTCCAGGTTGGACTGTCCTTGGTATATTCCTCAACCTTCTGTGAAGCTATAGCCAAGACTCCTTTCATGAGACCCCAACCCTTTTGTCCAATCTCAGTTGTTTTTGCAGTGACAACATTGACTGTTTCATTAACCTTGGTATCATATCCACCTTCTTTCACCTGTAAAAATTGGATTGCACATGCAGCTCAACTATCATTTTACTCCACTGCTTCTTTGTCCAAGCACTAGACATAGCAGAAATGAAATGTAGACTACACAACTGATAAAAAATTTTAAAAAAGAAAATAAATAAAACTGAAGAGCAGGCTTTTTAAACAAGCACCTAAACGACTTCAGATAGAGATAACTCCAGCTCAAATGAAGATAGTCAATTGATTCATTCAATGACAACTCTCATGCCCACGGAATACAGGGCTAAATTTTAGACTCCAAGTAATAGAAAAGGGNTTTTTTGAGAATGGCATCGGTGGCGGAGTTAGAATTTTCACCAAGGGGTGTCAAAATATAAAAACTTAGATACATCGAAAAGTTGAGGGGAGTCAACATATAATAAATATACATAAAACAGAGAAATTTATCTAGCAATACATTGTAATTTTTTGGTAAAGGGGTGTCGATTGACACCCCTTGTTTGAATGTGGCTCTGCCACTGAATGGCATGTGTACCATTTTTTTTTTTTATAAATGCAAGTACCATTTTCCTTGACAATTCTTGGAAAATAAGCATAAGGCAAAGGAAACATTATAAATTTAAAGGGTCCAAACTGATCCCAAAAGGAAACAGATGTTAAATATTTTTATAAGCACCAACCGCCACAGCTTATAGTCTTTTTGTTTTGCGACTCACCAGCCTTGAACTCTTGACCTAGTGTTGTAGAGAAAACGCCCTCAGCCACTATGACAAAGAGTGACCGGTCGCCCCGGCTTATAGTCTAGTGGCATCGACAGGTGTCTCCTACACAATAGGTGTGGGTCCGATTCCTATTTACCCTATACCCCAGTATAATAATAGAATTCTTTTTATATAAAGATATTTTATATAAAATGCCTAGATAGTGCCAAGATAGTCATTTCCGTTCTTTACTTCCCTTGAGCTCTGTTCAGATGATATAGGAAGCGTGTCATCTCAAAACTGAGCTCTGCATGAAATTAGCAGAAGACAACATGAATCTCTGGTGGGACAAGCTTGTTCTTTAACCCTAGAACTAAATAAACAGAAAAAAAGATTTACACAGTTCAGAAACTGAATAATTTCACTGCAAGATGACACCTGGTTCAGCAACCTTTATGGAGATGAAAATTGATGGTTTGAAGGAAAATCCTAGCGCATATTCACTAATAAAGACCAGCCAAATGTGCACTAACTTATGAGTCACTAAGTGGACCAGCACACTAAGAGCAATAACACAAATAAGTGGAGTTGGATGATTAGCTGAATTTTGTTATTAACTCATTGACAGAGTTGTGGAAGACGAACAAAGAGGTTCTGAAGCAATTGCAAAAGGCACTAAAGCATTATTTACCGGCTCCAAATTGCATTTAGACATACTAATTAAGTCATAGTTTCACATATTTGAACTTCAAAAAGCATAATTGTTTCAAAACTCGGATAAAGGAGGCTGATTGTGGTAAGTACATGTTCAATAATAAAGTTGTCTAGCTACGGACTTTAAATAGTGCTGATTGAATACAGACAATTCATATAGAAAACCCAACTATTTTGGGATTGAGTCATAGTTGACTGCGAAATCGAATTAAGCAATTAACAATTTTGTAGCAACCAAGATACTTTCACTATAGGCATGTTCAAGTAATAGTCTGTTTGGCCAAGATTCTAAAGTCAAGCTTATTTTGAAAAGTGCTTTTAAAAAAAATACTATTGGTGAGACGCAGTTTGTGTTTAGTTACTTAATTCGAAAAGCACTTTTAAGCAACAATTAATGTTTGACCAAGCTTTTTAAAAGTACTTCTAAGTGTATATTTTTCAAAAGTGCTTTTGGGGAGAAACTGTTTTTTCCGGCTTCTCAAAAATCACTTCTGCTTTTACTCAAAAACACTTTTTTCCTTCTAAAAGCTTGGCCAAACACCTTAACTTTGGAAAAAAAACGCTTTTGACCTAAAAAAAAAGCACTTTGGCTCAAAAGAGGCTTGGCCAAACAAACTATAAATTTGCTCAGCATCAACTTAGCCGATCTAGTGTTATATTATTTAATCTTGTCCTGATATACAGATATAGTTCCAGTTCTAACATAGAGGTTATAGAAATATTTATACCTTCCTAGCAATATATATATATATAAATATATATATATATATCAGAAACTTATGTAAATCAAATGACTATCACTTAAAGTAAGATACCACCTAACCACAATGAACAACATACCCTTCCCCATTCCTACGCAAGTCCCCAAACCTACCCAAAGTTACAGAAATGCGAGATTATATATGACAGACATACTTAACTCTTACATCACCCGTTATTCACATGTCTAATATTGACCTAATCCTGTCCTTTTTAAAAAAAAATTTAAAATCAGAGAATTGTGTCACTCTACCAACTAGTTTGCAACTTTTTCTTTTTCCTTCAGTGTATGGCAGAACTTTTAAGAGAAAATGAGTTACAATTCTAAAGTACAAAAGTTGTTCTAGGGCGACTTCCTCCACACTGTATCCTCTATTTTGTGCTACTCGGCCTCTTTATCATATTTGATCATTTTTAACCTTGTATAATCATATGCATTCTACAACATGCTTATCAACCAAAAAAAAACATACACATTCTACAATACTCATCTTACACATATTGTGGATATGTTAGTCCTACAGGTCCAACATTCACTTCCTTAGAATATTACCTCAACAAGTATAGCATAATATCAAACTTGATCCAACCAACTAAATGAACTAACCTCAAAATACTAGAAGTGCTTAAAGGGATCAAACGGATGTCCAAAAGACATCGAAAATATTATTGAACACATTACAAAGCTCAGCGAGTATTATTGAAGGCACCATTCTTTCCAGTGCCCTCAGTATACTTCCTCATACCTTCCGGGACATTACCTAGTAAATAGACTTGAAAAAGGATGAATTTTAAAGTAGCATGTCATAAGAATCAAGAGATATCTCTCGAGAATTAAAAACAGAAAAGCGTATCCAAAGTAAACAATTACAGAATTATTAACTATTAATCTAGAAGTCAAATCAAAATACCTTAGAAGTCAACTCCTTTGTCCCAACTTGAACCACACTTGCAGCTGACTGTGCTGCCGAGGTAGCTATCATAGATAACCTACCAAATCCCTACACATACCAAACAGTAACTCCATCAGCTATCAATCAGTAAGCATATCACAGCACAACAGAACAGCTACAATCAGTTTACTCTTACATAACCCTTCCTACATCCCAATTTATATGGCACTCGGTTCGTTTTGGAATATCTCAAAATGCTCGACAAATTTTATACAACTTTCACGTTCAAATTCATTAACTACTCACATTTTTTGTTCAGCTATCACTAACATAATATATAAGCTAAATTAACATATCAAATATGTGTCCAATCAAATAATGTCACGTAAAATGCAAGGGAAGGCGTACAACCTGAGTAACAGCAGAAAGAACATCCCCTTGCTGATTAATGGTATTCCTACTAGGCACGGGAGCAGGACTTGATCCGAACCCCACATACTTCCCTCCTTGAGAGGGTGGAAGCCCATCAGGCCGAGACTCATTCTCCGCCATTTTCCTCGCAAAAAAGCTATCTTTATTAGCGGCTGACACCTCATACTGCTCCTTAGTAATATCTGCCGTCGATCTTGACCTAGCTGGAGCACTACCCCCACTACCCCCACTCCTAAAATCCCCCACCGTCTGATTTCTCCTCACATTATTCTTACCACTACCACTAAATCCTCCATCATCATTATTATCCCAACTATCCCAACTGCCGCCGCCGCCCCCACTTGCGCCGCGGCTCAACGGTGGTCTACTGCTAGCATTATTACTAGTGATCCCATTTAGAGATTCTTTAACGACAGGTGGGTCCCGCCAGGGTTTACCTTCAGCTAGGGATTGAATCCTATCACGATAAACAGAAGCAGCTTTTGTATTGTATTTAGTTACAATATCAGTTTCTTTAGGGATTCCATATTGGGCCATGAATTTGTTTAAACTGTCGTTACCTCCGAGCTCCATTTTTCGGATCTGGATCTCGGACCATGAGTCCATGGTAACGGATCGGACAAACGAGATATGAACTCCGAGCCCACGGTGTTTGCCGGAGCATTCTAAGCACATGAAAACGCCGTAGGAAACAGAAGCCCATTGAGGATTCTTTTGGGAGCAATCGACGCAGATTTTGTTACCGGGTTGGGCTTGAAGATCTCGGAGACGACGTGATGATGACATTTTTGACCCGGATCCGATTCGGATGTGACTCTAAATCGGATCTGCGATGGGATCGGAGGACTGAAAATGGAGGGATCTGATTAGGAGAAATTGATCGGCCGGAGAAATTGTGAGGTTGGGGTGGAACGAAGGTGTTAATGGGAGGAGGCGATGGCCGACACCGTCAGAAAGGGAATGAGTTGGATAACGGCTGGATTACAAATAGATCTCTTTTTTTTCTTTTTGGGTCATTGGGTTTTATTAATATTTATTTATTTTTCCTTTTCATGAGTTTACAGATAATTGTTTTTTCCTTTTTTGTCACATGGGAACATGGAGTATGAAGATCCCAAAAAGAAAAAAAATATATAATGAAATAGGAAGTTTCGACTGCAAGAATCAAATAAGCATTTTTTGTTCCATATTTTATATTCAGTTTTCTTTTTGGGTTCCGGCTAATTCGGATTAAATATTATTTATTAAAGTGGATTTTATGTTTAGAGCTGCTATATAATTAAGAAGAATAAAATCGAGTTTATCCCCTTAATCTTCATGAGATGGAAAAGGATACGCTCCTCGCCTTTTGAACGGGAAAGGGAATCCCCTTATGTATTTTTTAAAAATTTCTTCTTTTTTTTTCTTCTTCTTCTTCCCCTCCTTTTTTTTTTTTGAATAAACAACTCCTTATTTATTCTTGATATTTGTTTTTACAAATTAACTAACCTTGATTAAATATAGAAGTATGACTAAAATTGTTAGGACAATCTTCTGTATTGTTGCTCCTTCTAGATGAAAGCTAATCTTCAGTCATTCTTTACTAGAAATCAAATAAGCCAAAGTGAGTCAAAGGACTGTAGAATACAATATCATTAGATACCTAAACAACAACTGATTATTCAATGCTTATCAGAATTTTGGGCCAACAAATTAAAGTGACACTAACAAAAGATGCCGGAAAATTATACTATATAATAAGACATAGGATTGGAAAGTTCTTGCTGTTGGATTGAAATGATATGAGTTCCTTCATGACGATCGACGGAGAGGAAGAAGACATAGGATTGTAAAGTTGAACAATTAACCACTTGAAAACCAATACACATAATAAAAATGTTCTTAGAGTAAAAATAAAAAAAAGTGAAAGATGTATAGTATTCATGAAATAGATGCGAGAATCCCTCGTATAAAGCAAGAAGTTGATTTTGAAGAAGATTGGAATACCCCACTACTAACGATGCACTCCATTCATATCGTAGTATTTTAATATTTTTACTTTGTCCTTTTGAAATATAAAATCTGGCAACAATGTTGTAATTGTTATAAAATAAAGCAATTTAGTAAAATATAAACAAGATATGTTGTTATAAAATAAAAGCAATTTAGTAAAACATGAACTAGAAATGGAGATAGAGAAAAGAAAGAGATTTTCTTCTTCAATTGTGTGTATTTTTCTATCTATTACAAGACTTTTATATAGGCATGAAAAGTGAAGAAAAATATGTCAGTGAATATGTCATTAAGCATAGAAATATGTCATTGAATATGTCATTAAGTATTTGAGAAGATCATGGAGGAAGAGTAGATATCCACCATAATTTGATTTTTCTTATAACACTCCCCCTTGGATATCCATAGATAATGTGTCTCGTTAAAACCTTATTAGGAAAAAAAAACCTATGGGAAAAAAAATCCTAGTGAAGGAAAAAGAGTACACATGTTTAGAAATACGCCTTTTGGTTGCCTTGTTAAAAACCTTGCAAAGAAAACCCAATGGGACAAAACCTTGTAAGGAAAAAAGAGTACAACACGTATTAACTCCCCCTGATGAGAGCATCAATTCACATCCTTGAACCTTCGCATCCCAATCTTGTACACTAATTTCTTGAAGGTTGATGACGGTAGAGATTTGGTGAACAAATCAGCCATATTATCACTTGAACGGATCTATTGCACATTGATATCACCATTCTTTTGAAGATCATGTGTGAAAAATAACTTTGGTGAAATGTGCTTTGTCCTATCCCCTTTTATGAATCCTCCCTTCAACCGGGCTATGCATGCCGCATTGTTTTCATATAAAATTGTGGGTAGTTTGTCACACTTCAAACCACATTTGTCTCGAATAAGGTGTAATATAGACCTCAACCATACACATTCTCGACTTGCTTTATGAATAGCAATTATCTAAGTATGATTAGATGAAGTAGCCACGATTGATTGCTTAGTCGATCGCACAGATATGGCAGTGCCTCCATATGTAAATATATAGCTTGCTTGAGATCGAACCTTTTGTGGGTCATATAAATACCCGACATCGGCATAACCAACAAGATCAGGACTGCAATCATTGTCATAAAATAATCCCACATCGGTAGTCCCTTTTAGATACCGCAATATGTGTTTGATTCCATTCCAATATCTCCTTGTAGAAGCAGAGCTATATTTTGTTAAGACATTAACTGAAAAAGTTATGTTAGACCTTGTAATGTTAGAAAGATACATTAGTGCACCAATTGCACTAAGATATGGTACGTCGGGACCAAGAAACTCTTCATTATTTTTATGAGGTCGGAATGGATGTGCTTTATCCATATAAAATCGCTTTAAAATAATTTTAGTGTATGCTGATTGATGGACAAAAATTTCATCTTTCATATACTCAATTTGTAGACCAAGACAAAAATTTATTTTTCCAAGATATTTCATTTCAAATTCTTTCTTTAGATAGTCTACTACTTTAGGAAGTTTTACTGCTTTAGGAAGCTCCCTAGGAGTTCTAATGATATTTAAATCATCAACATACACGGTGATTATAACAAATTTAGATCCAGATCTTTTTATAAAGGCACAAGGATAAATTGAATCATTCATGTACCCTTCTTTCAACAGGTACTCACTCAGGCGATTATACCACATACGCCCTGATTGTTTCAATCCGTATAAGGATTTTTGAAGATTTATTTAATAAATTTCTTTGAAACCTTAATATGCTTCAGAACAATTTAAATCCTTTAATGATTTCCATTATACGCATATCACATTTTTCTTGTATTGCCAGATTAAAACCTGAAATGGCGACATCCACCACAGGAGAACATGTCTCTATATAATCAATGCTGGGATATTTACAAATCTTCTTGTGACACAAGTCGTCTTTATGTCTATCGACTTGACCTTTTTATTCGCACAAGAACACATTTATACCTCCATTGGCTTTATACTTTCAGGTGTTGGGACTATCCGTCCAACTTCATATTTTTCATGTGAAATCAATTTTCATTGCGTATTTTTCATTTGGCCAATCATTTATCTGTCCAAATTTCATGACAGATTTGAGCTCAAGATCCTCGTCAATATTAATAATATTGAGCGCTATATTATATTAACAATATCTTCGACGATCATTTTATATCGGTTCTACTATTACCCAATAAAGACATAAATTATTGAGATCTCTTTATTTTATTATTTTCAGGTACCTGAGTCTCTCCCATAAGGTCTTATGAAGTGTTATGTCGTGGTGCTCTTCTAGAGCACTTGCCTCCTTATTATGACCATCTTGAACATTTGCTCCTCTCCTTCTTCAAGGAGTTTTATCTTTGGAACCGATTAGTCTATTATGCTTTATGCATGCCATGGACTCTATTCATTATGAACTTTATTTTATTTGGAGCATTAGTAGCTGAATATGACATTTAGCTTTGGGTCAGCAAATATGTCTGGCAATATTTTGCAAATGAATTATCACTTGAACTCCAAGTTTATATTTTCTCGTACGAGGATCTCTATGTACTCATAATAATTCATTACATGCATTACTTTTTCAGCTGCCCATTTTCTCTCCCTATTGTTGGGATCACTAACACATATCCCTAGTCTTATTTGGGAATCCATCTTTGTACATTGTGGTGGAATAATTAAATCATATAGCACATTCATATTTCTAGATGAAAATTATTTAGTTTCGGACCCTGAACCGATTGTGATAGGGAGAACTTATCATAACTTGGCTAGATGCGTACAAGTGCTGTTGTATATTAAATAATACATCACATACCAAAATTTATTTTGGCAATTTTGTTCTCATAACCAATGGTTTAGATATAATTGGAGGCATACAATTTCTGCTAAACCAACTTGGATTTAAACAAGTATTATCAAGATAAATCATCATAATTTATATTCTGGAACTGTGCTCTAATAATTTGAGCAATCAATCTTGCACAAGCCAAACTATAAGTTGATAACAAATGCACATGTGACCATAGAATAGATGCATCTATTAAAATCATATAATAGTAAACGGTCCACATGGAAGGTGACTGGGCCCATATATTTATCACCTTTTATTCATTCCAGAAATCAAGGGATTCAATCCCAACCTTAACTGGTATATCATGAGAATAAGCAGCATAAGAGAATTCTTGAAGAATCTTATATTTCTTCAATATATGCCAATGTAATTCTTAATTAATTTTTTCGCATCATAATTGAACCGAGATGGTCAACCGGTCATGCCAACTAATATTTATTTCAGTAAACCTCTATTTTACTTGTGGCTTGTGATTGTATCATCATGCTTATACTTGTGTAGTGCAAATAAAAAAAAAGTCAGGTAACCTTTCATACTTACCCGGTATGATTATAGTAATATAAAGATATTCAATCTTCTGTTCATTTATAGTCTTAATATGCCAACCACTTTGGCTAATATATTTGTAAATCAATATATTTCTTTTGAGACTTACTACAATATTAATGTCATGAACAATTTCATTCATCCGGGTAGTAAGAAATTAGTTCTTTCAGATCTCTTAACTGCTTTTGTACTACATGATCTTTTGTCACACTATTCATATAATGAATGTCTCCTTCACAAAGAGAATCATATCATAATAATTGTCATGTTCAAAATCATCACAAGCAAAATAATTTCTTGCTTTAATTTTGCTTTTAATAACTTTCATAAGGCATGACAAAATATTTTTGGCGTATCACATGTATGCGACCAATGATATATTCATGTAACTACACAGTAATATTCATTATCTTTCTTTGTCTCAAACCTCCCTTAGAGGTGAGTTGTAGTATTTATCCAACTATGCACAAGTACATTATTATGCATAATCTTTATCATATATATATTTTCACATTCGCTTTCAGGAATGAGTATGCAATCTCAATGTTTATCACAAGTCACATTCTCTTCAAAGAATTTCTCCCTTTTTATAAT